TTATGATCTGACTTCCTGTAATTGGGGGCTACGCTCTGTCTGCATGGACCCCCTGGATGGAGGAAGTTCGGGGGCGGACTGACCATTTGGAAACTCGGGCACTGCCCGAGGGCCCTGGTCAGTAGGGGGCCCCATGAGATGCCCCGGTACCTTTTTTATAGGCTTTTTGATATTGGGCAAGGACACAGGGGCCCCATGATCCCCTATTGCCCGAGGGCCCCATGAGTTGTCAGTCCGCCCCTAGTAGAAGCCCTCTCCTGCTCCCAAGATGGTCCACAGCAGGGGTCTCCAAATGACGGCCAATGGGCCACATCCGGCCCTCTATAATATTTCATTCAGCCCACAGCTGGGGTCACTGCTGTATCCTTACTGACTGAGGCTGTCTATGGTCTCTGCGTCTGATGTAAGGGGGAACTCCGCTGCAAAGCCACTATAGACAGATCGATATTCACTGGGCAGCACAGTGGCTTAATGGTTAGCACTTCACCCTGGCAGTACTAGGGTCGTTGGTTCGAATCCCAGCCACGGCACCTCCTGCCTGGAGTTTGCATGTTCTCCCTGTGCCTGCGTGGGTTTCCTCCGGGTACTCCAGTTTCCTCCCGCACTCCAAAGACGTGCTGGTAGGTTAACTGAATCCTGTCTAAATTGTCCCTAGTATATGAATGTGAGTTAGGGACCTTAGATTATACGCCCCTTGAGGGTTAGGGACTGATGTGAATGTACAATATATATGTAAAGCGCAGCCAGGGGCGGACTGACCATTTGGAAACTCGGGCACTGCCTGAGGGCCTGGAGTCAGTAGGGGGCCCCATGAGATGCCTCTGGTACCTTTTTCATAGGCTTTTTTGAGTTTGGGCAAGGACACAGGGGCCCCATGATCCCCTATTGCCCGGGGGCCCCATGAGTTGTCAGTCCGCCCCTGTTGACAGTGCTATATAAGTACCTGAAATAAATAAACCAGTTCAGCAGGAACCAGCCGTATTTCAGTCCATCTATGGGCAGGCTGGTTGTATTGGAGTTGATCTATCATATTGAAGAGACATATTACAGGAGACGGTCAGAGATTGCAGACTTGGTACAGGAGATGGTCAGAGACTGCGGACACAGTGGTACAGGAGATGGTCAGAGACTGCGGACACAGTACAGGAGATGACCAGAGACTGCGGACTGGCGGACACAGTACAGGAGATGACCAGAGACTGCAGACACAGTACAGGAGATGACCAGAGACTGCAGGACACAGTACAGGAGACGACCAGAGACTGCGGACACAGTACAGGAGACGACCAGAGACTGCGGACACAGTACAGAGATGACGACAGAGACTGCGGACACAGTACAGGAGATGACCAGAGACTGCGGACACAGTACAGGAGATGACCAGAGACTGCGGACACAGTACAGGAGATGACCAGAGACTGCGGACACAGTACAGGAGATGACCAGAGACTGCGGACACAGTACAGGAGGACCAGAGACTGCGGACACAGTACAGACGACCAGAGACTGCGGACACAGTACAGGAGATGACAGAGACTGCGGACACAGTACAGGAGACGACCAGAGACTGCGGACACAGTACAGGAGACGACCAGAGACTGCGGACACAGTACAGGAGATGACCAGAGACTGCGGACACAGTACAGGAGACGACCAGAGACTGCGGACACAGTACAGGAGATGACCAGAGACTGCGGACACAGTACAGGAGATGACAAGAGACTGCGGACACAGTACAGGAGATGACAAGAGACTGCGGACATAGTACAGGAGATGGTAAGAGACTGCGGACAGTACAGAGAGTACAGAGACTGCGGACACAGTACAGGAGATGGTCAGAGACTGCGGACACAGTACAGGAGATGGTGACCGACCAGAGACTGCGGACACAGTACAGGAGATGAGACAGAGACTGCGGACACAGTACAGGAGATGGTAAGAGAGACTGCGGACACAGTACAGGAGATGGAGAGAGACTGCGGACACAGTACAGGAGATGGTCAGAGACTGCGGACACAGTACAGAGATGACCAGAGACTGCGGACACAGTACAGGAGATGGTCAGAGACTGCGGACACAGTACAGGAGATGACCAGAGACTGCGGACACAGTACAGGAGATGACCAGAGACTGCGGACACAGTACAGGAGATGGTCAGAGACTGCGGACACAGTACAGGAGACGGTCAGAGACTGCAGAGACTGCAGACATGGTACAGGAGACGGTCAGGAGATTGCAGATATGGTAGTACAGGAGACGGTCAGAGATTGCAGACTGGTACAGGAGATGGTCAGAGACTGCAGACATAGTACAAGAGAGACGGTCAGAGATTTCCAGGAGATGGTCAGAGACTGCAGACATGGTACAGAGATGGTCAGTCAGACTGCAGACATAGTACAGGAGATGGTCAGAGACATAGCAGACATGGTACAGGAGATGGTCAGAGACTGACAGTACATGATGATGGTCAGAGACTAGTACAGGAGATGGTCAGAGACTGCAGACATGGTACAGGAGACAGTCAAAGACTGCAGACATACTACAGGAGATGGTCAGAGACTGCAGACATGGGGTACAGTACAGTCAGAGACTGCAGACATAGTACAGGAGACGGTCAGAGACTGCAGACATAGTACAGGAGTCAGAGTCATACAGGAGACACTGCAGACATAGTACAGGAGATGGTCAGAGACTGCAGACACAGTACAGGAGATGGTCAGAGACTGCAGACATAGTACAGGAGATGGTCAGAGACTGCAGACATGGTACAGGAGACGGTCAGAGACAGCACAGTACAGGAGACATGGTCAGAGACTGCAGACATAGTACAGAGACGGTCAGAGACAGCAGAAGTACAGAGACAGGAGATGGTCAGACTGTACATAGACAATAGACTGCAGTGACACATGCAGTACAGGACTGACCAGACATGGTACAGGAGACCGTCAGATGCAGAGACACAGTACAGGAGAGACGCAGACTACAGAGACTGCAGACACAGTACAGGAGATGGTCAGAGACTGCGGACACAGTACAGGAGATGGTCAGAGACTGCGGAGTCATAGTACAGGAGATGACCAGAGACTGCGGACACAGTACAGGAGATGACCAGAGACTGCGGACACAGTACAGGAGATGACCAGAGACTGCGGACACAGTACAGGAGATGACCAGAGACTGCGGACACAGTACAGGAGATGACCAGAGACTGCTGGACACATACAGGGAGATGACCCAGAGACTGCGGACACAGTACAGGAGATGGACCAGAGACTGCATGGGACACAGTACAGGGAGATGACCAGAGACTGCGGACACAGTACAGGAGATGACCAGAGACTGCAGACATAGTACAGGGAGATGACCAGAGACTGCGGACACAGTACAGGAGATGACCAGAGACTGCGGACATAGTACAGGAGATGACCAGAGACTGCGGACACAGTACAGGAGATGACCAGAGACTGCGGACATAGTACAGGAGATGACCAGAGACTGCGGACACAGTACAGGAGATGACCAGAGACTGCGGACACAGTACAGGAGATGACCAGAGACTGCGGACACAGTACAGGAGATGACCAGAGACTGCAGACACAGTACAGGAGATGACCAGAGACTGCGGACACAGTACAGGAGATGACCAGAGACTGCAGACATGATACAGGAGATGACCAGAGACTGCGGACACAGTACAGGAGATGACCAGAGACTGCGGACACAGTACAGGAGATGACCAGAGACTGCAGACATAGTACAGGAGATGACCAGAGACTGCGGACACAGTACAGGAGATGACCAGAGACTGCAGACACAGATACAGGAGATGACCAGAGACTGCAGACACAGTACAGGAGATGACCAGAGACTGCAGACATAGTACAGGAGATGACCAGAGACTGCAGACACAGTACAGGAGATGACCAGAGACTGCAGACACATACAGGAGATGACCAGAGACTGCAGACAGTACAGGAGATGACCAGAGACACTGCAGACATGATACAGGAGATGACCAGAGACTGCAGACATACTAGCCGGGGGTGTGTTAGGGTTGTAAAATAAAATTGACATCATTTGTAACAAAATGCATGAATTGTTCCCATCATCAGGTCTGAATACCAATAAAACAAAGACGTTACATTGTTAAATGATAAGTTGCTACAATGTAACGGAATGACTCTGGAAAGGGCGACAGTCCTGCTTCAGCCTGAAAGGTCGCGGTGTAGGACTATGGAGTGCGCTGTGTGACGCCACATATCGGGGGCGGGTCCACACTCTCGGGTCTCCTGTGTATATGATTGGTAACTATCAGAGGAAGATTGGGTTTTCTATGTACTGCTCCTTTAAGCCGAGGATATTAAATCTCCGGTCATGTCCATGCCATATGCCGTGACGAGGTGTCCCCGTGACGAGGTGTCCCCCCCGCATGTCCAATGAACAATTAGTTCTCCTATTTAATGTGGAGATTGTGGTCAGGATTGGGGGGGGAGGTTGGCAGCTGGGCCTTTGTGGAGCAACAGAAGATGTCTATACAACTTTTGTCCCACCAGCCCAGTCTCTGGGGATGGACAGCACACTGGTATTGTAATCCCGTCCTCAGGGGGTTCAGCATGTCCTGCGGTGACAATACCCAGCTTATAGAAGGAACATGGAGGGTCCAGGGAGGTGGGCCGAGGCTGCGATGGTGAGGCTCTGAGAGCTCTGCAAAGGAGGCGGAAAAATCAACTGCAGATTTGGGAATAAAGAGAAACTGGTAGCGTCTAGAAACTGCAGATATACTACAGGAGATGGTCAGAGACTGCAGACATAGTACATGAGATGGTCAGAGACTGCAGACATAGTACAGGAGATAGTCAGAGACTGCAGACATACTACAGGAGATGGTCAGAGACTGCAGACATAGTACAGGAGATGGTCAGAGACTGCAGACATAGTACAGGAGATAGTCAGAGACTGCAGATATACTACAGGAGATGGTCATGAGACTGCAGACATAGTACAGGAGATAGTCAGAGACTGCAGATATAGTACAGGAGATGGTCAGAGACTGCAGACATACTACAGGAGATGACCAGAGACTGCAGACATACTACAGGAGATGGTCAGAGACTGCAGATATACTACAGGAGATGACCAGAGACTGCAGACATACTACAGGAGATGACCAGAGACTGCAGACATAGTACAGGAGATAGGGTCAGAGACTGCAGATATACTACAGGAGATGGTCAGAGAGTGCAGACATACTACAGGAGATGGTCAGAGACTGCAGACATACTACAGGAGATGGTCAGAGACTGCAGATATACTACAGGAGATGGTCAGAGAGTGCAGACATACTACAGGAGAGGGTCAGAGAGTGCACACATACTACAGGAGAGGGTCAGAGAGTGCAGACATACTACAGGAGATGGTCAGAGAGTGCAGACATACTACAGGAGATGGTCAGAGAGTGCAGACATACTACAGGAGAGGGTCAGAGACTGCAGACATACTACAGGAGATGGGTCAGAGACTGCAGACATACTACAGGAGAGGGTCAGAGAGTGCAGACATACTACAGGAGAGGGTCAGAGAGTGCAGACATACTACAGGAGAGGGTCAGAGAGTGCAGACATACTACAGAAGATGGTCAGAGAGTGCAGACATACTACAGGAGAGGGTCAGAGAGTGCAGACATACTACAGGAGAGGGTCAGAGAGTGCAGACACAGTACAGGAGATGGTCAGAGACTGCAGACACAGTACAGAAGATGGTCAGAGACTGCAGACACAGTACAGGAGATGACCAGAGACTGCAGACACAGTACAGGAGATGACCAGAGACTGCAGACACAGTACAGGAGATGGTCAGAGAGTGCAGACATACTACAGGAGATGGATGGTCAGAGAGTGCAGACATAGTACAGGAGATGGTCAGAGACTGCAGACATAGTACAGGAGATGGTCAGAGACTGCAGGCATAGTACAGGAGATGGTCAGAGACTGCAGACATACTACAGGAGATGGTCAGAGACTGCAGATATACTACAGGAGATGGTCAGAGAGTGCAGACATACTACAGGAGAGGGTCAGAGACTGCAGACATACTACAGGAGATGGTCAGAGACTGCAGACATACTACAGGAGAGGGTCAGAGAGTGTAGACATACTACAGGAGAGGGTCAGAGAGTGCAGACATACTACAGGAGATGGTCAGAGAGTGCAGACATACTACAGGAGAGGGTCAGAGAGTGCAGACATACTACAGGAGAGGTCAGAGAGTGCAGACATACTACAGGAGAGGGTCAGAGAGTGCAGACATACTACAGGAGATGGTCAGAGAGTGCAGACATACTACAGGAGAGGGTCAGAGAGTGCAGACATACTACAGGAGAGGGTCAGAGACTGCAGACATACTACAGGAGATGGTCAGAGACTGCAGACATACTACAGGAGAGGGTCAGAGAGTGCAGACATACTACAGGAGAGGGTCAGAGAGTGCAGACATACTACAGGAGAGGGTCAGAGAGTGCAGACATACTACAGGAGAGGGTCAGAGAGTGCAGACATACTACAGGAGAGGTCAGAGACTGCAGAAATACTACAGGAGATGGTCAGAGACTGCAGACATAGTGCAGGAGATGTCAGAGACTGCAGACATAGTACAGGAGATGGTCAGAGACTGCGGACATACTACAGGAGATGGTCAGAGACTGCAGACATACTACAGGAGATGGTCAGAGACTGCAGACATACTACAGGAGATGGTCAGAGACTGCAGACATAGTACAGGAGATGGTCAGAGACTGCAGACATAGTACAGGAGAGGGTCAGAGACTGCAGACATACAGGACTATCAGAATTAAGAAGCCTCCTCCCCAAAAACCCTGGTCCAGTGGTTGTGGGGGTCTGAGGGTGCTTATCAGAATTTGGAAGACCCCTTTAAATACTCAGAGTTCAGATTAAGTATCCAAAGTTCAGTAACGGTCACTGAATTTTACTGAAGTTCAATGATGGGGACAAGGGCTTCTTCTCCAAAACCCTGGTCTAGTGGTTGTGGGGGTCTGAGGGTCAGGGGGCCTATCAGAATTTGGAAGCCTTTTCCCCAAAACTCAGGTTCAGTGATTGTGGGGTCTGAGGTTTGGGGTGTGCTTATCAGAATTTGGAAGCCTCGTCCCCAAAACTCTGGTACAGTGGTTGTGGGGGGTCTGAGGGTCAAGGGGCCTATCAGAATTTGGAAGCCTCTTCCCCAAAACTATGGCCCAGTGGTTGTGGGGGTCTGAGAGTTGTGGGTGCTTATCAGAATTTGGAAGCTTCTTCCCCAAAACCCTGGTCCAGTAGGTATGGGGGTCTAAGATTGGGGGGCCTATCAGAATTAAGAAGCCTCTTCCCCAAAAACAATGGTCGAGTGATTGTACGGGTCTAAGGGTTGGGGTGCTTTTCATAATTTGGAAGCTTCTTCTCCAAAACCGTGGTCAAGTGGTTGTGGGGGTCTAAGGGTCAGGGGGCCTATCAGAATTTGGAAGTCTCTTCTCCAAAACTCTGGTTTAGTGGTTGTGGGGTCTGAGGATTGGGGGTGCTTATCAGTTTTTGTAAGCCTCTTCCCCCCACAACTATGGTCCAGTGGTTGTGGGGGGTCTAAGGGTCAGGGGGCCTATCAGAATTTGGTAGCCTCTTCCACAAAAACCCTGATCCAGTGGTTGTAGTGGTTTTGGTTGGGGTGCTTATCAGAATCTGGAAGCTTCTTCCCCAAAACCCTAGTCCACTAGGTATGGGGGTCTAAGATTGGGGGGGCTATCAGAATTAAGAAGCTTCTTCCCCAAAAAACATGGTCCAGTGATTGTAGGGGTTGAGGGTTGGGGGTGCTTATCAGAATCTGGAAGCTTCTTCCCTCAAAACCCTGGTCCAATGGTTGTAGGGGTCTGAGGGTTGGGGGTGCTTATCAGAATTAGGAAGCCTCTTCCGCAAATCCTGGTCCAGTAGGTATGGGGGTCTAAGATTGGGGAGCCTATCAGAATTAAGAAGCCTCTTCCCCAAAAACCCCGGTCCAATGGTTGTAGGGGCCTGAGGGTTGGGGGTGCTTATCAGAATTAGGAAGCCTCTTCTGCAAATCCTGGTCCAGTAGTTTTTATGGGGGTCTGAGGGGTGGGGGTGCTTATCAGAATCTGGAAGCCCTCTTTAAATACACAAGGTTCGGATTTAGTATCCAAACTGCATTAAGGTTCACTGAACCCCCCCCCCCCCCCAAACCAGGCGCGTTTGGGTCACCACTCCCCAATCAGTGACTGAGGATGACCCCCGACACTGTAATACATCTCAGTAGAGGTGCTGACCGGTCTGTTGGCTTTGTTACAATGTATCTAACAATGTTACTCATCAGGGAAAGTTTATTATTGTGTAAGTGCCGTGATTAACGTTCGGTTGCATCGCGGAGCTTCTCACTTGGAGATCTCATTCAGCCGACGTGTTCGCGGCGTGGAATTTAGTCGAACATTTCACACCAAACATCGAATGCAAAACAAAACTGACCCCGAAAAAAAAGGAAAAATGTACCAAGTGAAGTACAACGTATCCCTCAGCTGCAACTGAGCTAAATGTCAGCGGCTAAAATGGTCAGCGACCAGCGACGGCTCCAGGTGATTGGTTTTTTGCCCATTCTGGGGGTAGGAGTGGGGGAGGTGCGTCCCGGATCCTAAATCGAAATGCTATAATAAAGGGAGACATAATATACTGAGAAATGATTGGTCAGTTGCTTTTTTTTCTGCATCGAAAACGCACAGAAAGTAGGGGGTATGGTTGTCAGTGTCATAGTTCACATCAGCGCTTGTAGTTCCGGTGCGTTCCGGGTGCAGAAAAAAAGTAGAACATGCTGCAGTTTTCCTGCTCAGAACTGTACTGGAACGCAGCATAAAAAACGCATAAAAAATGCACCGGAACGCACCAAAATGCACCGGAACGCACCAAAATGCACCGAAAACAAACTGGAATGCACACGTCCCCATTTAAATTGAAGAAAAAGAGAGGGGAAAAAAAAATAACAGAAAGTATCAAAACCGCACCAAAACGTGTCAAAAATGCATTAAAAAACACACCGCAATGCACCAAAAATGCATAAAAACCGCTATGCAGAAACGCACCTGGAACTCTTCTGGACTGCATTTCTATGGTGTGAACGGGCCTTTAAAATGGAACTACACTGCATTCACTGTATCCGCTCTCCCCGGACCCCGCATTCACTATATCCGCTCTCCCCGGACCCCGCACTCACTATATCCGCTCTCCCCGGACCCCGCATTCACTATATCCGCTCTCCCCCAGACCCCGCATTCACTATATCCTCTCTCCCTGGACCCCGCATTCACTATATCCGCTCTCCCCGGACCCCGCATTCACTATATCCTCTCTCCCCGGACCCCGCATTCACTATATCCGCTCTCCCCGACCCCCCGCATTCACTATATCCGCTCTCCCCGGACCCCGCATTCACTATATCCTCTCTCCCAGGACCCCGCATTCACTATATCCTCTCTCACCAGGACCCCGCATTCACTATATCCGCTCTCCCCCGGACCCCGCATTCACTATATCCGCTCTCCCCGGACCCCGCATTCACTATATCCGCTCTCCCCAGACCCCGCATTCACTATATCCGCTCTCCCCGGACCCCGCATTCACTGTA